CTTGGAAGAAGATTCTTAGAAAAGGGAACTTGAAGATCAAGTAGCTAGCAGCAAGGAGCTTGTGTGGACTTGAAATCTACCTCAGATAGCACCATTTGAAGGTATCAAGTCGTTACCTTGACCTTCTTTCCTTCTAGATCTCTTTTGGGTTGAAGATTAAGGCTTTTCATCATGTTATGAAGCTATTCTTGGGTATGAGCAAAGATCTGAAGTTGCAACTTCAGATCTGAACTCTCCTTGGTCTTTAGGTCCATAAAGCTTACAGCTTTAGCAAGTATGAACCCTTCCTTTTGAGTTAAACTCCATTTCAATTTTAGATTTGGCATTATGAGTCATTAGAGCTTTGCATGCACGTAAAGTTTGCAACTTTACGTGATAAAGGTGCATTAGGAAGCTGGATCTACAATTTCGAGCCTTAGCATGGCTTAAAATCGTCTGTATGAATAAAGGACTGAAGAGACTCGGCGAGTTGTATGAACGACTCAGTGAGTCCAATGAAGATTATCGTAGACTCGGCGAGTTGAATGAACGACTCGGCGAGTCAGATGAAGGTTGTCGTGGGCTCAGCGAGTCAGTCGAGTGACTCGGCGAGTCGGCGAGGGTTTTCCTAACCCTTTGGACACGTATGAACTCGGCGAGTTAAAGGGAAACTGGACGAGTCAACCAAGGATTTCACGAATTCTCGAGTTCAGGGAGGACTCGACGAGTCGAGTCAACATGGACTGTTGACTTTGACTGTGGACTTTGACTTTGACCAAGATTTGACCAGTTAACTTTTGAGGGTATTGTGGCAATTTGGAAATTTATGAAAAAAGGTTTTATGGTAACTATAGGTGGTGGTGTTCGTGTTGGTGATCCGGGAGTTGAGCTTTCTAGTTTCAGACGACAGTTGCGAGGTGAGTTATCCTCACTATACTCAAGGGTCTAAGGCACCAAGGCCGGCCCTTTGGATTGTTATATGGTTAGGATATGCTAGTATGATCTGTTGGATCGGTATCCTAGAGGGTAGGATAATATCATATGATATGCGGTGTGACCTGTTAGATCGGCATCCTGGTAGAGAGGATGGTATTATGTGCTATGTGGTATGATCCGTTAGATCAAGTATTGTCTATAGACTTTTATGTGATTTTTTGTTATATGTGCTCATGTTTGTTTGGCGGTTGAGGCTTATCTGCTTTGTGCGAAAGCCAATAGACCTGGGCATTCCAACATGTTGGTTGTGGGCCGTGAGTATTCCATCCCGAGGATGACTGGACTCATAGTATGTGGGCATTCCAACCTGTTGGTTGTGGGCTTGGGGTATTCCATCCCGAGGATGATTGGACCCATAGTATGTTGGCATTCCAACCGGATGGTTGAGGGCCTGGGGTATTCCAACCTGATGGTTGACTGGACCCATAGTATGCTGTTTATGATTATATGTGTATTGTTGCGGGTATGGGTATTTTGGGGGAACTCACTAAGCTTTCGGGCTTACAGTTTCAGTTTATTATTTCAGGTACATCAGGGGATCCTGGCAAGGCAAAGGTGTGATCGTACAGCTCCTCACTTTTTATGACTTTGTTTCTGGGATACTCTGATATGATACATTTTGAAAACAAGTTTTGTAATGATTAATGGTTTTGGATATGTTTTAAAAGTTTTAAATTGGCTTGAATTTTATGGGTGTTACATTCTCAAAACACCCAAAAATGATACAACCAAATGTTTTCAAAACCAAACAACATAAAAAGTATTCTCAAACATAAAAGTGAATCAAATAAATAGTATGGAACAATCTTCAGGGGATGTTGTTCGATCATTTCGGGTCCTTCCCTTTGGAACCAAAAGTACCTGAAACATTTAAACAACAAAACTATAAGCATAAATCTTAGTGAGTTCCCCAACGTCCGATGTGAATGAGATGTGCCAAATCATAGTCTTACCATCACTTTCTTCCGTGGGAAAAATCATGGTCTTTACTTGTACAAGTACCAGGGGTCGGATCCTACTCTTCCATACAACTACCAGGGGCTAAAACCTGGTCTTCCATGCAATTTGTTGGGGCCAAACCATGGTCTTTCATACAAATTACAGAGGCCAAACCTTGGTCTTCCATGCAAGAGTCACAAAGACAACTAGCATCTTACATAGTATAGTGAGACCACTCACCTCATAATTGCAGATGATAGCTAACAAGCTCACACAAATGAAAATCGGGTGACCTCCTAGAGGATCATACAAGGTAAACCATGAGTCTACCTTCTAAAACTATAAATTTAACCAAAGTCCAAACCTTGTCAAAATAACTATCAAAGTCAACGCTGGTTGACCTCAACGTCATGGCCATCCATTGGCCACGTCGTGGCACCTTCTCGGCAAAACAATCGTGGCCAGTGAAATCTCTGCGTCGTGGCAACTGCACAATGAACAGCTTAATGGATTAAGCTCTTAATCCATTTAATCCTTACGCTCATACTTTCCAAAAAGTCTTATTGGGACACTAATGGTCCATAAAAATCCTTGCTTTAATGACATGCATGTCCAATACACATCATTTTCTCAACTAGGTTAAAAGTGGCATAAATGGGGGTCAAGATCCATGTAAGAGCTCAAAGTTACATAACTCTTTAGATCTAGAACTCCTAACCCTCTTGGGACTAAAAGGATCAATAAAGTTGCAAACTTTATTGAATCTACCTACTCAACACACCAAAAACATGAAGAAAAGCCAATAAAACTTATATCTAAAGAGAGTTATCTAACAAGATCCGAAAAAAAGGAATTACAAAGGTCCAGAAGGTAGTCTTACAGGTGGAGAGGAGTTGCTTGCTTGATTCTTGCACTAGAGCCTTCTTCTTCTTCTTCTTCCTTCCAAATACACCAAAAAACCAAAATAAGCTCCAGAATGGAGATTAGGGGATTAGGGTTTGTTTCAATGCTTTTGGAGGTGATGGAAACTGAGGGTAGAGGAAACCTTAGCCATCATTTCTTTTAAATAGGGCCTTAAGCCCGGGAATTTAGGGTTTTCCCATAATCAGTCACCACATTGTGTCGGCTAAATGAGTTGTGCTCTTCATGTGGATTGCCACATCGTGCTGATTCCTATACCACGTCGTGATCGTCCAAGAATTCATAATTTACTTTAAGATTCATTACCTAAAAATTCAGATTTTACAATTAACTTAGGAAAAACAATACTTGTAAATTGAATGTTACAAGCAACACACTCAACTCCTCGCACTAATCAGAACTGCGAACCGACTAACACCAAACAAAGATCTAACCTCAGTTAACAACCCAAATCCTTCAAGTTTGAACCAATGTCAAAATAGCCAAATGTCAATGGTTAACGGTCAACAAAATTCAGTTCTGGACCAAGTCAATGGCCACCACGACGTGGAGAACTCTTGGTCGCGTCGTGGGCATGTGAGGACAAAACATTAGACATGCAGGATACCACCACGTCATGGACCATCCATGGCTACACCGTGGTTTTTTCAGAAATGTCATTTTTCTCATTTAGAACTTAATACGTTAAGTCCTTTGCTCAAAACGTTCCAGAAGGCTTCCTTTCCCTCAAATGAACCATAAAAATCCATACTTGATGGACATGCATGTCCAATGTACGTCTCTCCCAAAACTAGGTCGAAATGGTAAGAAATGGATTCAAAACTCCATGCATGGCACTAATCAACATGAAATTCTAGATTTGAAACATATAATGGCCTAGGGACCTCAATTGGTGATAATGTTGCCAACTTTATCAAAACCATACATTCATATTAACATATCATGAAGGAAAATGAGCTTAAAACCTAGATCCACAAAGGGTAAACCATAAAGGTGAGAACTTGGAGACTTACAAAAGTCCAGGAGATGCACCAAGAGATGGAGATGAGTTTTCTAGTTGATCCTTTGGTCAACAAAGCCTTCCTTCAACCGTAAAATGGCCGAAACACCAAAAAATAGCTCAAAATACAAGAGGATAGGCTCCGGTTTCGAAATGGGGAGATGGAGGTTGAAGGAGATGACCTAATCCAATATTTAAGGTCCTTAAATATGGGAGAAACCCTAAGAAACCCGGGCTTGGGCTGTAGCAGCCACCACGTCGTAGCCTCCATCTTGTCACGTCGTGGTGTCCATCCGGACATTCTTTTCATTTAAATGTCATGCCACGTCGTGGTCATCAACACACCATGTCGTGGCATAAGGTTTTATCCTAAAACCTTATCTTTGACCCCAAAAAGTCTTCAATTGATACACTCTGGATTATAGGTGTTACATTGTTGATGTGTTTTGTAACACAAAAAGTTGTAAACTTCGATTAATGATTTGAAAGTTTTGTAAAACCCTATGTTTATCAATATATAATGGTGTTTAAAAGTACAGTGTTACCGTTCCGATGATTGGGTGACCGTTATATGCAGAAAAGAGGATGAACGCGACGATGTAAAGCAATAAGATAGGGTTGGCAGTGAAGATGTTCGTAGTAGGGGAAGGAGGAGAGAAGGTGTGGTGTTATTGGGGAGAAAGGAGACAAAGCAGGTGGTGAGGGTGGTTATGGAAGGTGAGGAGGATAGGAAGATGATTGGGATGGCTAAAGAACTGAAGCAACTGCTAGAAAGATAAGACACTGAATTGTAACGGGTCATCTTAGGAAACTCTAGTTGGGTGTGCGGTGACCTCAAGACTTGCATGGGACCTCAAGAACTTGCATGGGATCTGGATGGTTGGATGTTTGAAGAATCTGAATGGGGTTTAAAGAATAATTGCTTTAAAGTTCTGTGATGTATAATAACAACGGTGGAAGTATCAACTCCCATTTAGTTAGGGCATACATAAAATTTGTATTCATAAGTATTAAGTGTTTAAATCAACAAAAAGAACACACAAATTTATAAATGCACTAAATTCATTCATAAAGTTACCATTTTTCACTCTCAAAGTCTTAGGATCTTATTTGTTACATGCACATACATTAAATATGAAACGGTGACCCCATTCACCAAATTAAGCTAGATGATATCATCAAGATTTGTTTTTGGGATTTGAAGCCAATCTAATTTGCAATTACTATTATCACCAAGAAACGCAGCCACGGATCCGACAAAAGCGGCATTCATATAAGTTGTGGGTTCTAAATGTGAAGAGTCTGATCTCATATCAGCGAACCCATCGTTTGAGTCTGGCCCTCCAACAATCGCACCCACATGGATATTAGGGTTCGGATTACTAGAAGAATAGTAGCTTGAGTAGCCATCGTTGCAACCGACCTTAGCTGGGTGAGCATAGACTGAGTCGATGGATGCACCTCGGTGGTGCACATGTGTTGGATACTTGCTACTGTACCCAACCATGTATGACATCTTTAGAGGGTTTTTTCCAAGAATGTAGTCAACCTGATCAAATTTCCAAGTTCGTATTAATTATTTTTCAAATGTTTTAATTTGTTCCGTGATTCAATATACAAAAAAATAATTAACCTGGGATTTTGCAAAGGATTTGATCTGATCAGGAGTGAATTTGGTAGGGCCGCATTGGACGCCTCCAATGAGTACGTTGGAGTAGGCAAGTAACACCATGGAAGCACCTGAAGCATACTGTAAATTGCTACTATCTCTAGTGTACAATAGTCCACCTGTATGTATATTTTTAAGAAACCAAACAACAAGAATTTTTTACTATCTCATAAATGTTCACGATATGATCATTAATAAGAAATTTTGATAATAAGATAAATTTTTATTATACTTTTTACTAATATAAGAAAATAAAGTTAATACTACATTTTTATATCGTCATTATGTACTCTTTAATAATAATAAAGAATTATTACTTTTTTTACTCTAACAGGTATCTATAATATACCCTGTAAATGATAAGAATATGCACAATATATTTTTTTTTACTATATGAGATATGTCTATATATAATACACCTTCTAATAATATAAGTTATATATAATTATAAAAGTGTATGATGCATCTAAAGATAAAGAAAATAGATAATAATTGTTTTTGACAATCTAATAAGTTAATAACTGTTTATAGTTAGTAATAAAAAACAAATAACAACAAATTTTGATCGTCATATGAAGTCTGTAATAGGAAGATTGTTCCCTAAATATCTAAAATTCCTCATTACTAATAAAAAATAAAAAATATAATTATTTGGTTGTATAAATGTTTATAGCTTTGAGAATTACATTTGAGAGTAATATTCTTATATTTTCAATCATTCACATCAAAAGTCATTATTTTGTTTTTTTCTTCAGAAAAGTTAGTACGTCTTAGTAATTAAAAAAACAAATAACAACAAATGTTGATCGTCTCATGATGTCTGAAGATCAATAATTAGAAATTCTACTGTTTCACAAATATCTATAATTCCTAGTTAGTAATAAAATAAAAAATAAAAAATTTATAAAATTATTTAGTTATGTTCAAGGTTCTAAACAACGTTAAGTGTTATTTGACGACAATGTCAAGTCTCAAGCATTACTAATTGTGTCAAACTACGTTGTTTGTAAGGCGTGACTTAAGACGACAATTTTATAATTTTAATATGTATTTCTACTATATATATATATATAATATTATATATATATATATATATATATATATATATATATCTAGGGAAGAGTTATTTGGAAAACAAAAAAACCCTAAAAATCATAAAAATACATAAAAAAAAAATACTTAGAGATCACAAAACTTTTTTTTGAAAATTTTTTTGAAAAAATCGTAGCTTTTTATACAAAATCGGTGGGTGAAAACTTGCGATTTTTTATAAAAAAAATTCAAAAATATTTTTTGTGATCTCTAAGTATTTTTTTTATGCATTTTTATGCATTTTTAGGGTTTTTTGTTTTCCATAGAACCTAAACCTATATATATATATATATATAATATATATATATATATATATATATATATATATATAATATATATATATATATATATGACTTAAGACGTCATTTTATTAGTTTAACGTCAATTACAAGCCTTAAAGCCGAGCTTTTTAAAAACTTGGTTACGCTATAAATGTATATAGCATCCTTAATTACATGACCATTAAGAAAATTTAAAGAACAATTCTTACATTTTCAATCATTCACATGAATGACAAGTCATAACTTGGTTGATCTCTTTAAAAAACTAGGCATATTTTCAAAAAAAATTCAAAAAAAAACATTTATATTTCTAAAAGTTTTCGTATTTCTTTTTAAAAGCCATTTTTATAATGTAACGCATATTTTCTAACTATTGAACATTTGCTAACCACCAATTTTATGTTTTCTTACGTCACAAGGTGTCCGACAAACTTCGTGTTTATTTTCCTATAAAATTTTTTGGTTATAGTGTTTTTATAGCCATGTATATCATTAATAGATTTCCATCATTATGCTTAAACTTCGTATATTTCATCTGTAATTTTACAAAACTATTATATTGTATACTCATACCAAAATCATTAGATGCTTGTGATCTATGTCAATACTCTAACACGCATTAGGTGTTTTTTTGAAAAGTCATTCTTAAACGGATGAAATCAATGTCCCGGTTAAAAATCTTAGGTGTAGTTTCCCTAAAAATATACTAATAAATGACACGACAAAAAACAAAAAAAAAAAAAAAAAAAAAAAAAAAAAAAAAAAAAAATATTGTTATTCCCATATTTTTTATATCAGGAGAAAGGATATAGACATGTTTGAATGACAATATAAAAATGGTCATAAATGGCCCCTGGAGGTATATTGCTATGACTAGAGAATTCTAAAAGACTCGAGAGGTATCACAATAATAATTCCGAGGAGAATGCTGTTGATAATCACCATAATTTCAGATTATATAGAAAATATCTTGATAGATAACCTAAAAAGAGCATGTTTGAGAGATCTATGTTCAGATTTGCCTTTTAGAGTACTGAACAAAAATAGTATCAATCCAATAATTTTGATATGATTGTATGATCTTGTAGTTTTCTAAAGATATTTATGGTGTATATTGAACACTATAACCTCAAATCTTTATAGGAAATAAGGACGAAGTATGTCAAACACCTTGTGATTAAATGAAAAATGAATTTGTTGGTTTACAAACTTTGTCCCATGGTCATCAAGTATCAAGTACCGGTGATATTCAAACTCACAGGTGTCCAACTTAGTTGATGTGACATTATTAATGGGCTGAAAAAAATTTGATGATCTGAACAGACTGTCAATAATACCATAACGAAAATAAATTATTAACTTTAGTACCGTAAAGGGTGAATTCTTTCCGACGAAACCTATTTGCCGTAAACCAAGAGCGGAGAAACAAGTGGACAGTTGGAGAAGGATAGAGCAAGGCCGACAATGGTGTCCGAGAAACTCCAAATACCCAACAAAGTAATTAATATGTTTTTACCGTTTTCTACTTTTTTTACTTCTCTTTTCTCACCTACCATGTTTTGTCTTCTTATAATTTATTAACTCGATTACTTAGATACTCAAAATATATTATGGTACCTAATACAAAATTTTATTTTGTTTGATAACCTAATACAACTTTACTTTGCTATTGTTTAACTCAAAATTTTATAATGATGTCTTTTTAATAATTATAAAAGTTTCCATCTAAAAAATTTAAAGGATCCAATCAAAAAAATGCTATAATCTCTAAAAAGAAAATTTTATAATTAAAGGAAGTCCATAGACAGTGGGACACCCTTAAAAATAATGTGGCATCGCCATTGTCAAGTATGTTGCATTCTTTAAAAGAATGTCGAAATTTAACAATAATCGTAATATCTTAAAGTCATATGTTTTCTAAATTATATAGATTTTTTTATGTTTTAAAAATATATCACATTTATTTTCCATGCTTAAACGATTATTATAAAAGATGAGAAGTAAAAGCCTGTTTGACCTAATGACCCATTTCAGATCCTATCTGGGCTGGGTTCATCGCAGGCCCTAAAATATCATCACCATTGTAAATATTATAATATTGTTGAAAATATATATTTCAGTATTCTGCATCAATTTTGTAAACTGATATAGATTTCTATTAACATAGTATAACAAACTATAAATTTAATTTATTTTGTTTAAAATGACAAACACACAGTAAAATTTAATTTATATCCTACTTCTAAATTATAACTTTTTGGTCTCTATCGATACTTAAACCGTCAATAAAAGGGACAAAACTTCCTAAATGGTCCTATGGTTTCTTATAATTTGAGTTTTAGTCTCTAACTTCAAAAAACTTCATGGTTGAGTTTTAGTCTCTAACTTCAAAAAACTTCATGGAAGGTCCCTGTAGTTTTCAATTTTTATCGTGGTTATACAAAATATATATATATATATATATATATATATATATATATATATATATATATGTTTTAAAAAAACATAACGTTTTTTCTCGCATGTATTTTAAAGTTTGTACATGATTTTATACTATAATTTTGTTATTTTTGGTTTCATATTCAGTTACTTACAGTACTCTAAAGTGGGGATATCAAATATGAAAAAAAAAATTCAAAGTTCAACCCACTATATAATTATCAAAAAGTTCTGGTTTTCCGGTTCTAGATCCACTCTACCTGGTTCCACCCTACCCACTTTGACATTTCTGAGTTTTCCGGTTCTAGACCTACTTTACCCGATATAATACCCGGAATCAAACCGAAATCGGTTCCTATATATCGGTCCGGTTTCCGGTCCTACAAAATCCTGTTAACTGGTTTCAGGTTTTCCGATCCAAGTCTATGCGGGCTGAATTTGGACCCACTCTCATCCCTATATCGAGTCCTCAATTTCGACTCTAACCTAGTGCAAGTTGTTAAAAAGAACAACCCATGATTCCATATTTATATTCAATCTCTAAAGTTCTAAATCTTAAAAATATATATATATATATATATATATATATATATATATATATTAAATAGCACACATCGAGGTATCTAATAAATGCCTACCTACATCCCTGTATCTAGCCACCACCATGAAACAAAACCAGATCGTCGGTGTGTTTGGGATTCCATCACCATTGTCGCCTAGAAGCACATTGACTTCCTCAGTTCGTCTTATATTTGACTTAAATCAGATTCCATCACCCACCTGCGATATCACCAACACTCCTTTGCCGCCACGGCCGCTAGATGGATTCCGGTTTATGATCTGGAAAATCATCAAAAATGGATTCCACCACTTCCCTATCTCCTTCCTTCATCCATATCTCTCTTCCCCAATCTCGCCACTGAATCCACTAGGCATCACCTCACAGGCCACCACCTTTTTTTCATCTTTTTTTATGGTGTTTCTCATATATTTTAGATCTCTTCTAGATTTGATTTGTGTTTCATTTATTGTGGTGGTGTGATGGTAGTGGTCGGACGTTAGTGGTGGTTGTGGCCGGAGGTGGTGTTTCACACCCAGAAAACGGGAGGAGGGGTGGGGGTAGTTTGGGTTTTTGAACTAAAGGAACCCAATTATGTGTTCTTGAGTGTCCAGTGTGCAACCAAGGTGGGGTTATTTATTTTGTTTTTTCATAGCTTTTGTCCAAAATTAATTATAAAAAAGAAATAAATAGGGCATAGAAGTCTTTTTATATGGGTGAAACTCCAAACATGATAGAAACTAAAAAC